GGCGGGCACGGCTGAGGCCCGGCTCTCTCTCTCTTTAAGAACATATCGAAAAGAGCCCTGGGGAAGATTCTGCTGAGCGCGCTGGACGCCTGCGGGGACCCTGCACGCGGTAGGACGCCGCCCTGGGCCTGGCCGCTGGAGGGTGTGCTGCCCCGGAAGCGGCCTGGCCCGAGACCTGAGTGTCTCGCCTGCAAATGCCGCCGGCACGGCCGCCCTGACCACCACAGCCGGGACGGGCAGAGCAGCTGGGGGGAGCTGAAAGTGCAGGGAGCAGACGTCCCAGGGAGAAGAGCCAAAGAACGGTGTGGCCAAGTCTCCAGGGAGCTGGGCGGTCCCTGCTGGCCACGCAGGCTTGTCCAGTCACTGGGCTCAGTGTGGGCTGGGCTTCCAGCCTGCGCCCCGTAGATGAGGAGACTGAGGTGCAGAAGAGAAGCCTCGGCTGCCCCAAGGCTCTGAGTATCTCCCTTAAGCACTAAGCTAAGCGCCCCCACTGTTTAAACAAAGCTCAGGGCACCAGAAATTCTTTGGTGCAACTTGTGCCTAATGACATCAGAATGACCAGGCTGACTCCTTCTGCGAAGGGCCTGGGGTGACTGGCCGGCAGCGAGCCTGAGCTCACTGGCCCTGCCTGCAGCCTGAACTCAGGTGTGTGCCCGTCCCTGACATCAAGGAGGTCAGAAATTGTGCGCTATGAGCTGCTCCACAGGACCTGGGTGGGAGAGAGATCCGAGGAGTAGCTTGGGGGCAGGGGGCTGCAGAGGGTGCCAGGAAGGTGGCGCGAGTGGCCCGGCTCTCCCTCCCCACTCTCTTCCTCCTGCAGAGACAGCAGGCCCCTTGGCCACCCTGGACGCCCTGCACCGGGCCCTCGCTGGCAGTGAGCTCTTGCAGACTGAGCCCCCAGCACCAGCCGCTGCTGCTCCGGCGCTCGCCAGTCCCTTCCTCATCCCCTGCTGAGGTCGCTGGCCAGTCTGTGGGCATCCTGGTAAGCCAGACCGGTCTCCAGGGCCAGCCTGGCCACTGCCTCCGGGCACTCCGGCCACACCAGCCACACCAGTGCC